TCTACGTCATTGCCACATCACCACTCTCATGCCACGTCACCCCTCCCTGTTATGTCACTGCCCAAATATTTTCACTTTAAATGTGTCTTCTTCAGGGTTCAAACTTGTGACCACAACCTTTCGTGTCCAATAGTGTTGCCGTTGAGCTGAATTGAATTTGTTTATTATTATTATAAAATAAAATATATATTATTAGATTATACTTTCAGTGGCGACATTAGAAAGTCACCGTTAAAAGTCAGACCTTTAACGGTGACACTAATAGTCACCATTGAAAGTCCACTTTTTGTAGTTTTTTTCACTACTGAAAGGTGTACTTTGAGCAGCGAAAGTTTTACTTTGAGCGGTAACTTTTAAGTGTTGCTGCTGAAAGTGGACTTTCAGTAGCGACTTTTTTGTCGCCGTTGAAAGTCTTACTTTTAGCAGCAACTTTTTATTGTCACGCTGAAACTTTTAGGGGCGACTTTTTTTGTCACGCCAAAAGTCATCGCCTAAAATCTATTTTTTGTAGTGGTAGAAACAAGCCAAACGGCCTATGGCCTAGCCTACATTTAACTTGGTCTGGCTTGACTAGTTAAAAATAGAAATAGGCCCGAGCTTTTTTGAGAAGCCTGTTAAGCTTGTTAGGCAGGGCCTGAGCCTATTACAAATTTATAATTATAATAATATGGGAAAATTAGTTGGTGCTATTATTTTTAATGTGCTCTTTCAATTTATTTTTTTATACATAGTCAATGCTTCGTTGAATTTTGAAATTTAATTTGTAATTGATGATAAGGATATAATTTAAAACAATAATGTCAATAAATAATGTGATCTTTAAATTTTAAAAATATAGATAAAATAGCAACAAAAAAACTTTAGTCTAGAAGGATAGCTAAAAAGAAGGGGAAGAATTGATAAGTTAATTATGTGTTATGTTAATCAAATTATGATACCCTTTTATTTGTTGTAAAGTTAATAATATTTTCTCCCTATTTATTTATTTTAATTTAAAATTACAGGCCTTTTAACAGGTCCAGTCCAAGCCAAGCTTTTGTACAGGTCAGACTTAGCTTGAGAAAAAGACTTGTGACAGGCCACAAGTAAGGCTCAGGCTGACTTGTTACTAGACAAGCCTAGTTTATTAAGGACAAAACCTAGCTGGTCTAGCCTATTTCTACCCTTATGTTTGCTCAATCCCAAGTAACAATTAGTCCCTCATATTAAATAGTCTTTTAATAGATTTCTCCAATCTCAATCCCAATTCATACCCCTCATTTTCTATGCTTCATACCTAACATGACCTAGGGCCCACTAATTTGGGGATATAGTGAAACTTCAAGTGGAGGTTGGGGACTAGATGTAGGTAAGGTTAGATTGAACTAGTATAAATTACTGTGTGTATTTTTGCTTACTGTTTTTCTAAGCAATAAGTAATACCTCCTCCACTTTACTATGTTTATATTAATCGATTTGATTGTTTTACTATTTCCACAATTTTTTATAACACCTAGTTTACTCCCCTATACTAATACATACTAACATAACAATATTTTTTTGGCTAAAGTATACATTTAGTCCTTTAACTCTGTATAAGGTTTCAATTTGGTCCCTTAATTTTAAAAAGCATGCATTTGGTCCTTTAACCCTAAAATTATTTAGTTTCACTGATGATTTTTTGTAATAATCATGATTTTTTTTGAAAACTAAACTTAATATGTTAGTATTTGAGAATATTTTATTACCATTTAAGATCTTAATGTCATCATTTTTTAAAAAAAATTTTAGAGTTAAAGGACTAAAAGTATACTTTTTAAAGTTAAGGGACTAAATTAAAACATTATACAAAGTTAAAAGACAAAATGTATACTTTAGCCTTTTTTTTTAAAATATGAATCTTTGTTTCTAAAAATGTAGATGATGACAAGAGAAATGAATTATTTTCTTTCTTGACATTGGATGTTGATCGTTCTTTTTTATTATATTGATTGTTCTGGATATTTCTAATTATGGTGATGATGATCTTCCTCCAGCAAGGTTGTTTGAACTTTGAAGAAGGGTCTCCTCTTTCTATGGGGAAGGGTATTGGGCCTTTTCATAAGAAAAATACATATATTGATTAAAAATAACATCTCATGTTCATGAACATACCAAACGCACTATATATTATAAAAGTTACTTCTACTTCCGCTTTTACTTTCACTCTCGTCAAAACTCTTCCATCATGCCAAACGGCGTGTTAATATCATTAATAATTAATAATTTGAAATTGCGTCATAGGATTTTAGATGGAACTAATAAATAAAAATTGCTTTTATATATTTTATTTATTTTTGCTATCATATTATGTTATCTTGTTTGTTACAAATTTATGTAATATTTGACTAAATTTTTGTAATATAGATACAATATATAAATAAGGGATAATATCATAGAAAGAATGTTGAAGTTACTAAATTGTAAATTAGATTTGGTAACAATACTTTCACAGGTCTTGACAACACTAAACTTGCAAATAAGAACACATTTTTGTAAGAATTTTTTTATTTAAGATCTAGTAATTTTAAACTTTTTGTGATAGGATTCCTCCTATAAGAAACTTTATGTATTATATAAATATGAATATAAATAACTATCATAGGATACATATAGAATATTGATAGTCCTGGCTTGCCATTGGTCTAGATGCCCACTTTCCATGTGATCGCTTGACCCGCTGCTCATGATTGCTTTTTATCTTGCAGTCTCAGGGTTCGAGTTGTACCGTTCCAAAATCCTCTTTTACTTGTTTTATTCATGTTGGGTTCCCCTTCTTTTTGGTTTTTTATTGGGCTCCTCTATTTCCATCATTCAGATCTTATTATGTAAAAGCTGCACAGTTTGTGTCTCATTTTATTTAAATTTTAATAAATTATCTTTTTATCAAAAAATATAGAATATTGATAGCAAAATATTACATATAGAATATTAAAAAATGAATAAGGGTAAAAAATATTCATAAAAATATACCAAAAATTTACCCAATACCGTAAATTTTCTTTGGGCTCAAATCAACCAAACCAAATTTCATAAAAATATACCAAAAATTTACCTAATACCATAAATTTTCTTTGGGCTTAAATCAACCAAACCAAATTTAATAAGAGCCCAATAATACTATTACTATTAAAATGCACAAGCGTTTGTTAAAATTAGTAGTGAGACCCATAATATTCTTTTATGAACGTACCAAAATATCTCCAATTAAAACAGAAAAAGTTTAAGGGTTAAAATACCCATAAACTTATACACAAAGCTCACCAAACACCACATAATTTTTAATGAAAGTATTAAAATACCCCAATCTCAAGGGTAATTATATTAGACTGTGTTGGACATTATTAACTATAATTAATTTTTTTAATTAAAACAACTCATGTAAAAAAGTTTGAACTTTAATTGATTTTTTTTTCAACGATAAGTTGTTTATATCATCAATCTTTTTTTAGTAGACATTATAAGTATCATTTGAAAGTAAGTTTTTTTTCTAATAAATTTTTTTCTTGATCAGCTAATTTTTTTGCTTTTCTTATAAAAATCAACCAATTGTTATAGTTATTATATTAATTGTTACAGCCAAAAATATTTTAATAGCATAAATGTTATACATAATAATTAAATACTTTTGTAACTTATCGTGTTTTATATTTTAACACCATTATTACTTATCCTGAAGTATTGTAATTTTAAGGAATTGTTAAATAAAGTCAACAACATAGATATTTACATTTTAATCCTTTGATTAATATTCATTTGATGTTTTTAGGTTTTCAATTCAATTTAAAAAATTATAATTAAATCTAGAAACAAAAATATAAAGATAGTTTGAATTTTGATTGAAATAAAGTAATATTATCTATCTTGTAAGAAAATGAGTTTTGTTCTTGGAAGAGAAATGAACTAAGAGGACCATCGAGAGGGAGATAGTGATTTTTTTTTAGTGATTGGTATTTTGATACTTATTAAAAATATTATGGGTCCCAAGAAGTAGCTTTAAATTCTCTCAAAGAATTGAGATTAAGCATAAAAAGACTTTTAAATTAGATAACATAGACCTGATGATAAACATAAACATAAAAGAATTTCGTTGACTTCATTTAACAATACTTTGAAATCAAGACATTTAATATGAAACATGATAAATTACAAAAACATTTAATTATTATGTTTATTATTTATACTATTAAAATATTTTTATCCATAACAATTAATATAATAATTATAATAATTGGCTGATTTTAATAAAAAAGGAATAAAAATTGGTTGATTGAAAAAATTTATTTTCAAAAAATACTCATAATATCTTTTAAAAGTGATTTGGGATATAAACAACTTATCATTGGAGAGCAATTCAATTTAAGCTTAACTTTTTTTTACACAAGTTATTTTAATCATAAAAATTTATTATAATTAATAATTTATAACATACTTTGATGCAATAATTCTTTGAGATTAGGGTATTTGGTATTTTCATTAAAAATTATATAGAGCTTAGTGAACTTTTAATATCAGTTTATGAATATTTTTTATTTTAATTTTTTTTATTTGATTGGAGTATTTTGATATTTTCATTAAAAATATCATGAGTTTCGTTATCAATTTAATGAATGTTCGTGCATTTTAACTATGTTACTATTATTGGGCTATTTTTATATTTGAATTGATAAATTTATGATACTAACAAGAGTTGATCCTGTTAGTAAGGAGTCGGTTTATAACCCATAAAGTTGTAAGTTTACTCTCTAAGTTTTGAGGCATACTCTAATCTTGGTGAGCTCTAGGAACCAACTTACCTAAATTTTTTTGTATAAAAAAATTGATAAATTTATGATATCGAGTGAATTTTTTTTATGAACATTTGAAAAAATAAATGTTTTTAGGCTTTGAACGTATCCTTCTCTCAGGTCGCGTTTGTGCTTTTCCGTATTTATTCATAAGATTTTAATTTTGCCTCTTTCCCCGTCTTTGACTGATAATACTTTTACAGTCTTCGATTCTCTCTTTCGGAGTTTTTCTCCCTCCTCTGCCGGAACTCGGTCGGCGACGCCGGAGCCCACATTTGTTCCGGGCAATTCTCTACTGCAATCGCTGTGCGCCGTCTCTACCTCTTGGCGAGCTCACTTTTTCTAGGTCTGGATACCTGGTTTGCTTTTCTCTTTCTTTGTTTTTTCCTTTTCAATATATATATATTTTTTTTGGAAAACCCTTCTCTGGTCCAAGTCAGTCCATGAGTTGAAGAAGTTATTTCTTTGACTGGGAATTGTCAATGAAGTTGCTGGGATTTTTGATTCTTTGAAGAAGAGCAGATCTGCTGGGCTTTCTGTGTTCAAGAGCGAGAAGAAGGAAGTTGGTTTGCTTAAGAGAGAGGGAGAGGTTGGGATTGGGCGTGGAAGTGGATGGTTGTGTACGGAAGAGGTTGGAGTTGTTTATGATGACCGGAGCTCCGGCCAGCGATCGCAGAGGGTGGTGGCGTTTTCGTCAATTTCTCACATGGAATGGCAGATCTTGCTAAGCATGGGAATGCCGACCGTGATATCGAACAGGTTCCTTGGTCTTTGTGCTACAAATTTAGTGCGAAACAACTTGTGCTTGCGTTAGTCATGCTTTGATTTTGCTGCTTTGTTTTGGTTTTTATTTCCGAATTTTCTCACAGGATACGGGAATTAGGTTTCTTCTTCTTGGCATCTTTGATGGCTAAGAGTTTTATGATTAAGAGTGCAACTGTGCATTTTATTATTTGGACAGCTTCGGATATTTGGTGTTTATTTGGACTCTTCCTGAAAGACCATGAAATGGGAAAATGAAATATAGAGGCCAAAATATAATGAGAAATACATTTATTTGGTCTATTTTGTATTTGGTAAATAATTTGATAGTTCTATCTATGAATTGAAGTTTTTGATCAGGTAGATAACATGATTTAATGCTTATACATGGGATAAAATTTTTTATTACATGAATGAAATGCACTGAGGGGTGGTACTGGTAAATTGATTCTAATATGAACTCTTTCACTGGCTTTCTGTATGCCGACCGATGCTTTATTCTGATGATAGAATGCAAATTGTGCAGCACCTTGTAGCTTTTCTTGTGTTGTTTAGAATAAATTATTCAACCTTACGTTGTATTTATTTCTAACATCTTCAATCAAAATTAAAGCTTTCATTCAGAAGAATAGATTGTAGTAACTTAAATGATTGAGCCTTTTTTGATCTGGTTTGAATTGTGAGCCTACAGAATTATTCTTCATGTGGTGAAATAAGCTGATGGCAGGTTGTGTCATCCTGGCGTTGCAAAATCTAAGTTCTAATTATATTTGACTTAAGAATTTGAACAAAATGTGAGTGTAGGGCTTCTAGTCATAATAGAGACATAGATAGATCACTAGGAAGCAAAAAATACTGATATGGACGCATGATATGATAAGAACTTGGTGAAAAGAAAAATTATAGTGTGAGTGTTGTTTGAAGCGTTACATAACATATAATTGAGGTTCCAGCATCTATTATGTGCAAAGAAGGCTACCTTTCAGAAGCCTCCTAGCTTCATATCTAATAAGAAAGGGTAAGGCCTTCAGTATTGTTGCAATTGGTAAAATGGAAGACTGAGAAGGGAGGATGTTAGGTACTAGTTAAGGGAAATGAGAGAATTTAGAAAAAGAGGGAAAGGAAAGAAGGGGAACTAGAACCAGAATCTGAAGTTCTAGGGAAAGAGATAGGGAAAGAGTGTTTACTGGATAATACTTCATTCATAAGGGAAATTCTTACATACTAGGCTCTTATAGCAAGCCTCATAACCGAAAATAATTGACAGATAACTTCCTACAAGTCTGGATAATAACAAAAGACATAATAATAACTGTATATAACTACCATTTAAGATATGAAAGATTACTAGTCATAAAACTACCTCTGATTCCTACTTTTCTTCCTAGAGTACTACAATAAAGGCTGCTGGTTCCTATCAATACTCCCTCCCTGGAAAACAGCCTTGTCCTCAAGGCTGAAAGTAGGGAATTGTACTGCCACGGCATCATATGTCTCCCAGCTAGCCTCCTCTATAGGATGATTTTTCCACTTGATGAGGAGCTCAACAATTTCTTTCCCTTCCTTCATCGTGAGCCTACTTTGTAGTACCTGTTCTGGTTCCAATTTGAAGTCCCATTCATCATTCATCAACAGGGGCAGAATAGAAGACTGAGTAGGTTGTCCATAGGCCGGTTTGAGTAGGGAAACATGAAAAATGGGATGCATTTTAGACCCTGGTGGTAGGTCTAATTCATATGCCACAGCTCCAATTCTCCTCACAATAGCATATGGTCCACAATAACGAGGGGAGAGTTTTTGAAATTTGCTTCTGGTTAATGAAAGTTGCCTGTAAGGCTGTAGTTTCAGATAGATCATATCTCCAGGCTGGAATTCCACTTCTCTGCGCTTAGAATCAGCAAGCATTTTCATCCTTGTTTGAGCCACAACCAAATTATCTTTAAGAGTTGTAACAACGGCATCCCTCTCCTCAAAATAGTCCTCAAGCTCAACCAACCGAGTATCACCTTTGAGAAAAGGTAAGAGAGTAGGTGGGTCACGGCCATAAACCAACTTAAAAGGTGAATGCCTGGAAGCAGAATGGAACCCTGTGTTGTAGGAAAACTCAGCCCAATGCAAGTAGTTGCTCCAGGTCTTAGGATGATCAGTAGAAAAGCACCTCAAGTAGGTTTTCAGACACCTATTCACCACTTCAGTCTGCCCATCACTTTGGGGATGATAGGAAGTACTCATCCTCAATTTAGTGCCACTCAACCGAAATAATTCTTGCCAAAAGGAACTCAGAAAGATGGTGTCTCTATCTGACCCAATTGAAGATGGAAATCCATGTAGTTTAACAACGTCTTTGCAGAAGACATGCATGGGCTACAACTTTTGCTGTATATGATCTTGGCAAGCCAATGAAATGAGCATATTTGCTGAGGCAATCAACCACCACTAGGATAGCTTCCCAACCATTAGATTTTGGTAAACTAGTGATGAAGTCTAAGGAAATCCCCTCCCAAATTTGTTTAGGAAATTCTAAAGGCTGTAAAAGACCACCAGGAGCTTGGGGGAGGTACTTATTCTGCTGGCAAGATAAACAATTCTGCACAAATTTTCTAACCTCTTCCTTCATGTTTTTCCAAAAGTAGTATTGTTGAAGCCTTCTTAGAGTTTTGACATGACCACCATGACCTCCAGTAGGTGAGGAATGAGCTTCAGAGATTAATTTGGCACTCAATTCAGATGGGGCAGGTATGACCACTCGATTCTTATAAAACAACTTGCCATCTACTAGAGAAAAATGAGGGACAGATTTGGAATCATGCTGCAAAGAGTGAACAATTGTGGCAGTGTACTGGTTCTGTAGCAAGTTCATGGAGTGTATCAAAGTCAGTGGCATGTGGAATGGAAATAGCAAAGAAATTTGCTGAATGGGGACAACGGGAAAGTGCATTTACTCCCTGATTTGATGAACCTGTTTTATGCATTATTTTGAAGTCAAAAGGGAGCAATTTCAAAATAAGGCGTTGTTGATAAGGTGTAGACAAACGTTGCTCCAATAGATATTTAAGAGAAAAATGGTCCGAATGGGCTTCAAACTTCTACCTTGTTAAATAATGCTTCCACTTCTCCAAAGTTGAAACTAATGCAAGCAATTCCCTGTAGTATGCAGATTTATGGTGCTTAGTTGGAGAAAGCCCTTTGCTATAGTAAGCAATTGGGTGGCCATTTTGCTACAGAACAGCTCCTAACCCAGTTGAAGAGGCATCACATTCCACTATAAACATCTTTGTAAAGTCAGGCAATGACAAAACAGGAACACTTGTCAAAGCTTGCTTCAAATTCTCGAAGGCTTGTTTAGAGGAATCAGTCAGTGGAAGGCATCACGCTTAGTCATATCTGTGAGTGGTTTAGCAATTTGTCCATAGTGTCTCACAAAGCGCCTGTAATATCCTGTTATGCCCAGAAACCCTCTCAATTCTGAAATATTGTCTGGTAGAGGCCAATTGACTACTACAGCAATCTTTTCAGCATCAATAGCAACTCCTGCTTGAGATATGACATGTCCCAAAAATGCAATTTCAGATTGAGTGAAATTACACTTCTTAGGATTAGCAAAGAACTCTTGCTATTGTAGAGTGTGGAAAACAATTCTCAAATGAGCCATGTGTTGCTCAAAACTGCCACTATATACCACAATGTCATCAAAAAATACTAGCAAAAATTTTCTGAGAAAAGGCCTGAACAAATCATTCATGATGGCTTGAAATGTAGAAGGGGCATTAGAGAGACCAAAAGGCATCACAATAAACTCATAATATCCAGAATGAGTCCTAAATGCAGTCTTAGGAACATCATTGTCAAGAATTCTTATTTGATGATAACCAGAACGCAAGTCTATTATAGAAAAATAAGTAGCTCCATGCAATTTATCAATCAACTCATCAATATTAGGTATAGGATGCTTATCTGGTACTGTAATTTTGTTTAATTCCCTATAATTTAATTCCCTGTAATCCACACAGAACCGCCAAATAGAATTCTTTTTAGGCACCAAAAGCGTAGGACTAGCAAAAGGACTCATACTAGGTTGAATAAATCCTTTGCTTAACAAATCTGTCACTTGCTTTTCTATTTCATCCTTCTGACAATGCGGGTACCTATGAGGACGAATGTTGGGTGGTATAGCACCAGGGATAAGTGGGATTGCATGGCAGTGATCACGAGTAGGAGGAAGAGATTTGGGTTCCTCAAAAACCCTGGAATATCGATGCAAAAGCTGCTGTAGATGCTGGTAATTCCATTGATCAGGATTTTCACCTGACATACTATTCATAGTTGCCACAGACACTGTATGAGGAAGATTCCCTTGTAATTTATACTTCTTTCCATCCATCCAGAAACCCATATGCATTTTCTGCCAATTAGCTTCTACAGTGTTGAGGGAGGCCAGCCATTTTATTCCCAGAACCATGTCAATAGTCTCGAGAGTGAAAGGAAAAAATTCTTCACGGATGGTGAGGCTTTGGACTTGAACTTCTAGTTGCTTACAAACAGATTTGCACATGATGATGTTTCTATTTCCAATTTGCACACCAAAAGGTGGAACAGGTTCTACGGGAATCTTCAATTCTGCCGCTCGTTGAGAAGAGATGAAGTTGTGGGTAGAACCACTGTCAACTAAGATAAGGACAGGCTTGGATAGAATAGTACCACAAAGCTTCATGGTAGTGGTAGTTGTTCCACCTAGAATAGCATGAATAGAAATCTCTGCAATAGAAGCTTCACTAGAATTATTCGCCTCTTCTTGCTCAGTAGCATTTTCTTCCATGTCTTCAGTAATTTCCATCAGTTTGAAAGAGGATGTTTTGCATCTGTGACCTGGAGAAAATTTCTCCCCACATTTAAAACAAAGTCCCTTGTCCTTGCGTAACTGCTTCTCCATGTCTAAATTGAGTGGGGTAGTGGTAACTGCCATAGCAGTTGGCTTTTGCACCCCACTATGTGAAATAACTGGCGTAGAAGTGGAGGAAGTGGTGCTGGATAGGGGCCTCTGAATAAAATTATTTTTATTTTCATATCCACGTGTCCAATTTGAATGCTAACTAGGATGGTTAGAATTCTGCGATGATAATTTTGTCTCAAATTCAAGAGCCAAACTAGAGGCCTTGTAAACCATTCTTGGTTTCTGGATTTTAACATCAGATTGCAATTCCTCCTTTAAACCATTAATAAACATTGCAAGTAAACAGTGTTCAGGCCAACCCCGTACCCGTGATGCTTTGCGAATAAACTCCTGTCGATAATCATGAACAGTACCCATCTGTTTAATGCTACAAAGATATACATCAGGATTTTGAAATTCGGCAAGACCAAAATGCTCCTGAAGGACTTGAATTAATTCCTCCCAGTAATTAATTGTCTGTCTAGAAGAGACCCACGTAAACAAATCAAGAGCATCCCCTTCTAAGTTCATTGCTGCCACTTCAACTTTAATATCTTCAGGTGTTTGATAATACCTGAAATATTCAGCCTCTAGGGTCCCCACCATCATACTTGGGAAACTCTACATTAGTATGGGGTCTCCTATTTGGATTCTTGCTCCACCAAGGGGTCTCAACTTCAAAATCATCATTCTCTACTTGGAATGTTCTCTCAAGATGTGTGAACTTTGCTGCTATATCCTCAGGCACTTTTTGTTTCCTTAATTCAGAAATCTCAACATCCATCTGATTAAGTTTAGCAACAATTATAGACAATTGTTGGGAAACTTGATGCTGCAAAGTAGGATCTTGTGGTTCGTGTGAGGGTGTTTCAGGAGAATCTTCTGGTGTTGGAGTTGGAAGAAGAGGAGGAATGGTAGAATCATTCTCCTTATGGGTATTAACCATATTGTCACCACAACCCAGATCAAAAGGCTCTGATGCCAAATTGTTAGGTACCGGTTAAGGGAAATGAGAGAATTTAGAAAAAGAGGGAAAGGAAAGAAGGGGAACTAGAACCGGAATCTGAAGTTCTAGGGAAAGAGATAGGGAAAGAGTGTTTACTGGATCATACTTCATTCATGAGGGAAATTCTTACATACTAGGCTCTTATAGCAAGCCTCATAACCGAAAATAACTGACAGATAACTTCCTACAAGTCTGGATAATAACAAAAGACATAATAATAACTGTATATAACTACCATTTAAGATATGAAAGATTACTAGTCATAAAACTACCTCTGATTCCTACTTTTCTTCCCAGAGTACAACAATAAAGGCTGCTGGTTCCTATCAGAGGACTTAAAAAGTTGGTTACTTTTCAAGTAATCTTCACTTTGTAAAGCCTTCCCCTCTCCATATGAAACTTTATAATATTTCCTGTTATCAGATGGCTTAGGTCATATTATTCATCATTCAATTCGCTTATGTGTTGAATTTCATATTTTATATTTTCTTTTACCTCTATGATCATTCCTATTTTGTGATTTTTAATTTTAATTTCTGCAGGCATTGGTGGCTTTGAAAAAGGGTGCTCGGTTGCTTAAATATGGTCGCAAGGGAAAGCCCAAGTTTTGTCCATTTCGGCTCTCTAGTGTAAGTTTGGCTTCATTTTGACTTTCGAATATATAACTAATGATATGTGTAATTTTTGTTGACATAATTTCTGGTTTTACATGCCATCTCTGAAATACTTGTCTTTTGTTCATTTCCTATAGTTTTGTGCTTTTTTTGTGAGAGAGAGAGCTTTGGAAGCATTATCTGTTTATTTATTTGTCTTTGTTGGGAGAAGGTATGAGGAGCAATGTGCAATATGGTGATTGAATAATTTGTTTCAGACTATTCAAGTAAGTTTTGGGCTTAATGCTCTGCTCCTTTTCTGTTCATGCCCATTTTCATTCCTTTTTCTTTGTATGGGAATTGGATGACTACACCTTGGTTCAGTTTCATTTTCCTCATATTCCCCATGTACCTTACAGCTCTAGACTAAAATTAGGACTCTGTTGATCTTGACATATCAATTTTTCTGGGTGTATAATTGCACCATAGTGGTAGACTTTGATTGCTTTTTCTTCTCAAATTCCATGGCTGGGAATGAGTAGTTACGTTATATTATCTACATCATCTCAGGATTATTGATGACTGTTCGTTTGGTCACTTTGCCAAGTACTGGCTTCATTGATTATGGATTACCTTGGCTTTTGGTACCATATTTAGTGATTTTCAAGGATAAAGAATAATTATTACTGTTTACAAGATCAAATGAAAGAAACACAATCTCATCATCATCATTATTGATCTAGGTCAGATTTACTGAATGGAAGTTATTTCCCCACTTTGATTACGCATTGATAGTGATATTATAGCTCTACTGCTGAGCATGTGTTATATATTCTGATCAATGCTTTATATATTTTATTAATTTATTCTAACGAGCGTGCATCTTACCTTTCTCCCATGGCGGTAGATCATGAACTTATTGTCATATATTTATAGGTCATTGTCTTTTTCACTTTTATAAGTTCATTTTTTTGTCCTTATTAAAATATTTTGGAAGTACAGGATGAATCATCTTTAGTTTGGATATCAAGTGGCGGAGAAAGACGCCTGAAGCTATCTTCTGTCTCGAGAATTATTCCTGGACAAAGAACTGTTAGATCTCTACACATCTATTGCATAATGCAAATGCTTCATTGTTTCATAGCTTGATCTAAACAAGCTGATTTGCATGTATACTTTGATGACTCTTATGTTCTTTGTTTACTTCAATCCTATGGCAGGCTGTTTTCCAACGTTTTCTGCGTCCTGAGAAGGATTATCTGTCTTTTTCACTTATTTACAACAACGGAAAGCGATCCCTTGACCTGGTTGGTGATGTGTTTTGAATTTATATGCATAAATATCTCATCATTTTGGTTCTGCTTCCTTTATTTAGGGTGTTGCTATATTGATTTGTCTTGTTGTTTTGAAGATTTGCAAGGATAAGGCTGAGGCAGAAGTTTGGATTGCTGGCCTCAAATCATTGCTCTCTTCAGGTCAAGGCGGCCGGTCGAAAATTGATGGATGGAGTGATGGAGGCCTCTGCCTTGATGTAAAGATGCCTACTTGTCTTTATAGTTATTTTCTTAACCTGATATGTTTCAAATTGTAATATCTATGGAGCGGGAGGGATAATTGATTGTAGTCTTGAGTAGTGGAGGATTTTAGCATTTCTCCTATAAACACTGTTTGGGACAAATCCAGATAGAGAATTTTCTGCCTAGCTGGTGCTGTGGATGAGGATCCATAGATCTTTTTGAAGTGAGATTATTGCTTTTATTTCTTAGAGTAGCAGCTCTTGTTGTGAAAGGATCTATAATGCTGTTTTTTCTGAAAATTGACTGCTACTCACTTTCTCATTCACTTATTTGACCACATCTCAGGTATTGAGTGCTTGATTACACTGCTATAGCGTTTCTATTGTGATGTTTTTTATTGTGTAAATGATGCAGATTGACTTCTTGTTCTAAAAGTTCATTGAATTTCATGTGTTGCTATTGGTGTCATCAAGCGGCCTATGTAGCTTCCATGAGATAATATGCAGTCAGCCTAGTGTAACATTTTCTTGCTGAATTACTTGCAGGATAACAGAGAATTGACTTCAAATCGGCCAAGTGGAAGTTCAATTGGTGCTTCCCAATGTATTAGCTCTCCTGAAGTTTCTCTGAGTCTTAATTCAAATTCTCCTCCGAAGTCCTTTGGTCCTGAGAATACTTCTAAGTCTGAAAGGTCACATGCGCCATCTGATCCAACGAATATGCAAGTGAAAGGATCTGGTTCAGATGCTTTTCGTGTTAGTGTTTCAAGTGCCCCAAGTACATCTAGTCATGGGTCAGCACCAGATGATTGTGATGCTCTTGGGGATGTGTACATATGGGGAGAGGTAATCTGTGAGAACATTGTGAAAATTGGTGCTGATAGAAATGCCAACTATTTTAGCTCAAGGGCGGATGTGTTTCTACCTAGACCATTGGAGTCCAATGTAGTTTTAGATGTACATCATATAGCATGTGGTGTTAAACATGCTGCTCTAGTCACAAGGCAAGGTGAAATTTTTACATGGGGTGAAGAATCTGGAGGACGCCTTGGCCATGGTGTTGAGAAGAATGTGCTTCAACCCCATTTAGTTGAAGCATTGGCTTCTACAACTGTTGATTTTGTTGCCTGTGGGGAGTTCCATACTTGTGCTGTTACAATGGCTGGGGAATTATATACCTGGGGTGATGGTACTCACAATGCCGGTCTTCTTGGTCATGGCACTGATATTAGTCATTGGATACCAAAGAGAATTGCGGGTCCACTGGAGGGACTTCAGGTTTCTTTAGTCTCTTGTGGTCCATGGCACACAGCCTTGGTAACTTCAAGCGGTCAGCTTTTTACATTTGGTGATGGAACTTTTGGTGTCTTGGGCCATGGAGATAGGGAAAATTTTTCTTATCCTAGAGAAGTAGAATCCTTATCTGGGCTGAGGACAATAGCTGTTGCATGTGGTGTGTGGCATACTGCAGCTGTGGTAGAAGTTATAGTCACACAATCCAGTGCTAGTGTATCATCAGGTAAATTGTTTACTTGGGGTGATGGAGACAAAAATCGCCTTGGACATGGGGACAAGGAAGCCCGGCTGAAGCCAACTTGTGTGCCATCTCTTATTGACTACAATTTTTATAAAATTGCTTGTGGACACAGCTTGACTGTTGGCTTGACGACATCTGGACATGTTTTTACAATGGGTAGCACTGTTTATGGTCAGCTTGGGAATCCCCAGTCTGATGGAAAGGTGCCTTGCTTGGTTGAAGACAAGCTTGCTGGAGAATCTGTTGAAGAAATTGCATGTGGTGCATATCATGTTGCAGTTTTAACATCTAAAAATGAAGTTTATACATGGGGAAAGGGTGCAAACGGGAGGTTGGGTCATGGAGATATTGAAGACAGAAAATTACCAACTTTGGTTGAAGCTTTGAAGGATAGGCATGTGAAATATATTGCATGTGGTTCAAACTACTCTGCTGCAATATGCCTTCATAAATGGGTATCAGGTGCGGAACAGTCTCAGTGCTCTGCTTGTAGACAAGCATTTGGATTCACTCGAAAGAGGCACAATTGTTATAATTGTGGACTCGTACACTGCCATTCATGTAGTTCAAGGAAAGCACTAAGAGCAGCTTTGGCTCCTAATCCTGGCAAGCCATATCGAGTTTGTGATTCTTGTTATGCAAAGCTAAGCAAGGTAGCAGAAGCTGGCAGTAATAATAGGAAGAATGTTATGCCTCGTTTGTCTGGTGAAAACAAGGACAGGTTAGATAAATCTGAGATAAGAGCCTCCAAGGTGGTTCCTTCTAATATGGATTTGATAAAGCAGCTAGATAGTAAAGCAGCCAAACAGGGGAAGAAGGCTGACACATTTGCCCTAGTTCGTACCTTACAAGCACCTTCAATGCTGCAACTGAAGGATGTGGTCTTGTCTACTGCTGCTGATCTGAGACAAACAGCTCCAAGACCAGTTCTTGCACCATCTGGAGTAAGTTCCAGATCTGTGTCCCCTTTCTCTAGACGGCCAAGCCCCCCTCGTTCTGCTACACCGATTCCAACCACATCTGGTCTTTCTTTCTCCAAAGGCATTGCTGACAGTTTAAAGAAGACAAATGAACTTTTAAATCAAGAAGTGGTGAAGCTACGTTCTCAGGTAAATCCTATTCCACCCTTTTAAATCAAGTATTTTTAGATGCATTTACCATTTCTCTACCTCCCAACTCCAAATCTGTTACTTATATATTGAAGCTCATGATGGCGCCTCATAAATCATGAGCAGTAGTCTATTTTTTTGAGCCACAGAGCAGTAGTCTTTTCTTTTTGAAGCATTACTAGCATTAGTTTATCAAATGGCCAGAAGAGTTAATTTTATCTCGTTATGAACATAAATGTACATTTGCTTTATTGGAGGAATTTGAACGGTGACTGCCAGACATCAGGATGAATTTTATCTAAATTTGGTTAGGTTGAGAGCCTGAGGGAAAGATGTGAACGACAAGATCTGGAGCTTCAAAGATCAGCAAGGAAAACTCAGGAAGCTATGGCACTCGCTGCTGAGGAGTCTGCTAAATGTAAAGCCGCAAAAGAAGTTATAAAGTCACTTACAGCACAGGTAATGAGGTCACATGCAGTATTGAGATCCTGTTTTTTCATTTTGATAAAACAGATATGCATGTCAAACCTATCAAATCTGAATTCCACAATACCATACACAATAGAACAAATTGTTATAACGGTTTTGATTTTTAATCGCAATGGATTTAGAGTGGTAAGAATTCACCCCCTCTTCGTTTTTTTGGTTTTTGTTTTGGGTTCTTGTATCATGTTACTTCATATCAGGTTATTCAGTTCTGGGGTTATAGAGTGCTTAAATGCAGCAAAGAGAGGCCTGACTTATTCTGCTTACCTTTTGTTTTGTTTTGTTTGTTTTTGTTTTGTTTTATTTTGTTTTTTTTTTTTAAACAAGTGGAAATTTGCCCTTGTCCTTAATCATTATTCCTTTCTCTATATATGATATTGGTGTCCTAGTGACTTCCATTTCACATGATTTCAGCTCAAAGATCTGGCTGAGAGGCTCCCACCTGGAGCTAATGATGCTGAGAGCATAAGACCATCTTACCTACCAAATGGTTTGGAGGTAAATGGCATCCTCTATCCTGACTCAAACGGAGAGCGCCACTGCCGAGCTGAGTCGATCAGTTCCTCTAGCTTGGCCTCTGTAGGACTTGAATCATCTCTGTCAAATAGTCTTGAGGGAAATTTATGTGGAGCGTATGGAACTAATCCTTACCAGCAAAATCGGCAGCTTGTGACCTCCAATGGGTCCAATGAACTCTCAGACGGTAAATTGCCAAATGGCGGCATGACTCCCACAAGCAACAATATGTCAGATACCATTGCTAGTAGGGATTCAGGACATTCACAAGATGGAGAGGGTGGCTTGAGATCAAAGGATGGCGTGCCGGCTGTGAACAGTAATCAAATTGAGGCAGAATGGATTGAACAGTATGAACCTGGTGTGTATATAACACTCATGGCCCTTAAGGATGGAACACGAGATCTGAAACGAGTGCGCTTCAGGTACTGATTGTTATGTATCCTCTGAATATCTTCCTCTGGTCTGCATGTGGTATTTTCTCTAGTGGTCAGTCCTTAGTGAGGGTGGTGAGGATTTGTTCATGCATGATCTTTTTAATTCCACTGTTTATTACCACAGATAATCCTATTTCTTCTTTGGAAAGCAAACTTAGCATCATGAATATTTTTTCAAGTTCATGCTGGTTGCTATTGCTTCAAAAGCTAGGAACTCTACTTTTTCTCAAATTCATCCCCACAAATTTTATTTTATTTGTAAATGCTTCTGTAGCCGGAGAAGATTTGGAGAGCATCAAGCAGAGACATGGTGGTCAGAGAATCGTGAGAAGGTATATGAAAGATACAATGTTCGCAGCACTGACAAATCTTCGGGCCAAGCAACTCGGAAAGCAGAAGGCGTTGCTTCACCTGTTGCCCAATCTTAGGAAAATACATGGATGGTAGTTCTCTAACACATTTTGTTACAGAGCATGATTTTAGCGAGGCGAGGATCAATGTGAAGGAAGCAGGCATCCTTCTTTTTGCCCTTTCTCTTTAATCCTAAATTAATGATCTTCCATTTAATCCGGGCATATGCCATTCGCTTATCTTTTGTAATGTAGTGTATATAAAAGATATCCAAGATAATCTTGGCTAAATATTTCCTCACCTTTAATCTTTTTTTTTCCCCCCCAAGTTCCGTTTTTTAAAAATGAAATTATTTCCTTCAGTTCTAATGTTCTTGCTGGACCTTTTGTTTCCCCTCTATTAAACCATTGTTAATTTTTGTTTCTTGTCTTGCGTTGCTTAGTTATAATTCCCTCTTTCTGACCCTTTTGTTCTCCTGATAGAAGTTATGCTAAAGCTCTTCCTTTTTACTTAGTTAACTAATAATTAAACTTATAACGGTCGAAGCGACATTGTTAAGATTTGGAAATTTCTGGGGTGAAGTTGAAGCCTGAATGCCTAACGTTTTTAAGTCAATTTTTGGAGCAAATTTATATCTCAATTTAAAAAAAGTGAGGTGGGTGACACATGGACCTGCTGACTAAACATATTTGGTTAAAATTCGAACAATGGCGGGGTGACATTTCAAAACTTCTAAGGTGATATTAAATATGAAAGAAGCTTTTGAATACTTAGTGTTTCTAAGTAAAAATTTTTGGAGTAAATTTGCACCAAGTCTTATCATATATCAAGAAAAAATTATATCACTAAATATTTTAGGGTGTTTGATGTATCTTAAAAAATAATTTAGGATGCTAGATGCATTTTCAAAAAACTGGCAAAGAATGACCAAAGACCTTGGAGAGGGCGAGACTTGCCTCTTATGTTGGGGGCTCCTGTGGTTTGTGGACTATTTTAATGAAAAATGATAATGGGAACATAAACGGGAATAAGGATTACTAGCATGAAATAAGTTTGGTGGGTGAGAAAAATGGTCATTTATGATATTTAGAGTTGGACCAATATAAAAATATACAAGGTATTTAATGTTCATAATTATTAGCATCATTTTTAACTGAATTAATAAAAGTAAAATATTCAATTTTATTAAAACTATTTATTTGTAAAATACTTGATATCGAAGGACAAGCATAGAGGTCATGTTTGGTATAAGGTATTAAAGTTTAAAGATTGGGAATGGAATTGGAAATGGGATTTTTTTTTTTTGGTCAAAGGAATTGGAAATGGGATTGGATGTTGGAGTTGGTATTGAGTTTTAAAATTATGTTTGGTATGGGATGGGATTAAGAAAAAAATAGTAAGAAGGTATTTAATGTTCATAATTATTAGCATCATTTTTAACTGAATTAATAAAAGTAAAATATTCAATTTTATTAAAACTATTTATTTGTAAAATACTTGATATCGAAGGACAAGCATAGAGGTCATGTTTGGTATAAGGTATTAAAGTTTAAAGGATTAGGAATGGAATTGGAAATGGGATTGGGCATGGGATTGGAGTTGGCATTGAGTTTTAAAATTATGTTTGGTATGGGATGGGATTAAGAAAAAAAATAGTAAGAAGGTATTTAATGTTCATAATTATTAGCATCATTTTTAACGGAATTAATAAAAGTAAAATATTAAATTTTATTAAAACTATTTATTTGTAAAATACTTGATATCGAAGGACAAGCATATAGGTCATGTTTGATATAAGGTATTAAAGTTTAAATGATTGGGAATGGAATTGGGAATGGGACTGGGCATGGGATTGGAGTTGGCATTGAGTTTTAAAATTATGTTTGGTATGGGATGGGATTAAGAAAAAATAGTAAGACCCAACTCAAACGAAATTAGGAAAAAGACATAATTGCCCTGGTCTTCTTCCGTTCTTTCACCTTCCAAAAATTCATCCCCGCTGGGCGGCTGAGCACCCATCAATAGAATGAATCAGAAAAATATAGGGAAAAAGGGCAAAGCAGAAATTAAAATTAGAAACGTAAACCGTAAAATTGAAATATTAGCACCCAATGCAGAATCGTCAATGGCATCATACTTGGATGTTCATAGGCTTCAATTTTTTTAATTCATTCAAACTACAAGGTATGGGTTTTAATTCATTTGAATCGAAGATTTTGTCTGCTTCATTTACCAAAGGGGTTTGCCATTCTGGACGCAATCTTATTATAACCACAAGGTTTTTGTTATTGTAATGGAAATTGAAGATCGAAACGCTCTCAGACACAAGAAATGGAGAAGACGAACTGGAGATCAAAGATCGAAGCCCAGATTGAGCGGAGAAGGATGAAGATTGCAGAAAAATTATGACGATGTAGAAGATAAAGATGAACACTATTAATGGAGAACACAATCTGCAAAAAACACTGGGCAGATGAACCAGTTCGTGATTCATGATGGTCCAAAGAAGGAAGACCGATATACATGTGGCGGGTGGGTCAGGGATAATTTGGTCCAAAAATGTTCAGTCTTGGGATTGATTTTCCAGTACCAAGGGGGCCAGTGGTATTGAGCAATCCCACAGAAAGTGGTATTGAGCAGTCCCGCACTGCTCAAGTCTACATACCAAACGTTATAAAATCACCAATCCCAGCACCAACTCTTCCAATACCTTGTATCAAACAGGGCCATGGTGCCAATGACCTTTCAATCTTTCAAGAAATTATTGATAATCAATATTCCTGGAATCTTTGCGTGTTTTTGCCATTTTTTGCTCTCTTGGACCGTGCAAGTGGCCCGATGACCTGGTTAATTTGATCCTGCGGGGACAGTACAAGTCAGGCTTTGGAACCATCGCGGGCTAATGTCAACCTTGCCCAATTGGAGCTTTCTTTTTTGTGTTGTCGGTGAAAACAACTTGTTTGGTAATATTTTTAATATTTTTATGCTCTACATGGACTTTTTATGATTTCTTTTTTTTAAAATTTCTTTTGAGATTTTTAATTTTTTTAACACTTAATGTTAAGTAAAAATAATAATGGTTCTTAAGTACATATAATTTTAAAAAATGATTACTTAATTTCATAAGAAATGTATTCCAAATAGGGATAATTATATTTATTGTCGACGAATAAAATTATTTTTCACATTTTTTACAAAGTCTTTTTGAGTTGGCCTGGCTTGAACATTTAGTTATCGAATAGTCCCAACTCTCAAACAATACTCCAGGGTGTACTTGAATTTAAGCCATTAGAACATGAGTGAGGAAAATCTCTCGACCAGTGACAGCGGAGTGCTAGAGGAAGGAGGGTCGGGCAAATGTCGAGACAAGAACGTGAGAAGGGGAATAGGGATAGAATGGAGAACTAGGACGAAGACTCGAGTAAGAAGAGGAGACAAACTCCTAGGAAATCAAGAGCGGGTTTTACACGATGAGAAAGGAAGGAGGGTCATTGATGACGCTTAGAAGGATTACCGATAGCCTGAAGAGCTATTTCATTCAAGTAGATGAGGAGAAAGACAACTTAAGTGGAAGAACGTGATGATGAAGACTGCCCAAAGTTCGGGGTCACGCAAGAAGAGTGTGAACGATGGTGTGCTCCCTGGCAGAAGTCTCTTATCGTGAAACTCCTGGGCAAGACGCTTTTCTTGCGTGTAATGAAGACCAATCTTGAACGAATCTGGAAGACACCTAAACCCTTCGTTACAATGGACATTGACTACTCCATGGTTTCATTTGAAGACGAAGATGACATAAATCATATCTACTAAGAGGGGCCTTGGATAATCACTCATAGGTACTTGAAAGTGCAATGGTGGGGCCCTAACTTTGATCCTTAGTGTGTGGATGTCCAGAAGAAGATCGTAGCCTAGGTCAGAATACCGCTCCTTCCTCTAGAGTTCCTTAACACAGAAAGATTATGAAGAATTAGAGGACTGTTGTGCAAGACTTTGAAGGTGGATATGATCACCTACACTGGCAAGTGAGGTCGCTTCGCCGGGATCTGTGCGGAGCTAAACCTATCGAAATGATTGAAGTCCTTAATTAATATTTTCGGCAAGCGTTATATCATCCAATATCAGTGCCCACATCTAATTCGCTTCTACTACTGCAAATATGTGGACACCATGAGGATGCTTGCCTGGATAGCAAAGATAACCAAGACAAAGTGGGGGCTGTCATCAGCAATGGAAAAAATGGAAGTGGTACAGGAACTGGACTGAGGAAAAGTCGACTCTTGGGAAGTGAAAAGCATGATAAGGGAGACCAGGTGGCCCACTTGAACCTAGCTAGAAGTGACACTCTGAAATGTCCCCGGCAAGATGCCGACGTTGGAGCCATCTAAAAGGCTGGAGCAATGCTGCAAGTGGAGTAGTTAGTTGCGCGGAACCTTGTCCAATAGTCGAGAGGTAGGAGATTTGAAAATCATGCGAGATCTTGGTCCTCACTAACTCAGTGTGAGAAATTAGGAACGTGACGCAATGCTAGTGAATAAGAGCGTGATAATCGTGGGAAAAGGGAGGGATTCCTGAATAGGAATGTGATAAACAAGGAAAATTAAGATGGATTTGGAGGGCCCTAATCCTTTGGGAGAGACATTAAGAATAATATGAAGTGAGCCTTAGCCCACCAGATCTTTTTTGTTTTTAGCAGGCGACCAGTCCCTTTGAAACATTCAATATGCTTGAAGAATCCCAACTTGCCAAAATCCATGTGCACTAATTTGAACCCACATGAAAACGCAAGAGACCAACCCATGCAGGATGACGAGAGTTTTGGGAAACAAGATGACTGCTAAAGCCCAAAAAAATAACAACACAGACGGCAGAGATGGCGATTTGTGTAAAATTTCAAAATTTAGGCCTAGAAGTGTAAGAAATAGCCTAAAATAGATAAACTACTAGACCTCCTTTTGGCAGGAGTCCTAGAAATTCTCTAGAAGGATAGAAGCATTTTCAGAGACTAAATTGCAAAGTAAAAGATTTCTGGGATCAAGAGATAAGAAAATTAGAGGTTATAGTAAAGTCTTTAGGCTAAGAATGAGAAATAAGAATGATTATGGGCCAGAAGTCATGTTAAAGACCTTAATAATATGATTCTTGAGAATAAATCCTAGTAGGGACTAAACCGTAATTTTGAAAAGTTTCTGATCGGAAAAGATAATGATGAAAAATACGTCCAAAATTCCAGAAAAATTTCATAAAATGGGAAATAAGGTGTCAAGGCTCATTTGAGGTTAAAAATGAC